GCAGCCAGACACTAGACGGCCACATGTGATTCGAATGATCATGAAGAGTCAAGGTGGACACCAAGAATCTTAATAGAGGAGAAGCGAGGAATTGGAATAGAATTAAGAGAAATGTCGAAGGAATACGGGATAACAATGTTGACGAACCGATATCTGAAGAAAGCTCAATCGTAAGACTTAAATATGTTATATTTTTACTCAATTACTTAATGGGGAAAAAAATGTTTGACAAAACGTTTTTTAAACATTTTTGAAAACGTTAAAAAATCGTTTCTAAAAACGTTTAAAATAACGAAAAAAGTCACCTTTTTTTTCATTAAAACGTTAAATCAAACGTAAAAAAAATGTTCGTTTAATGCTAAAAAAAACATTTTTTTAATATTTAAACAATTTTTTTTATGTTAAAAAATCGCTTTTTATGATTTGACAAAAATGTTTTTGTAATGATAAAAATAACGTTTAAAATAACAAGAAAAGTTCCCTTTTTTACATTAAAAAAACGTTTATTCAAATGTTTAAATAATGTTTTTTTAATGTTAAAAAAAGTTTTTTAATGTCAAAATTATTTGAACAAAATTAGAAAAAATATTGTACAATACAGAATATTTTTTGTAATTTATTATTTTTTATCGATAGTACATTTAACTTTAAACAACTAATTTTATTAATTAATAGTAATTTTTAATTATATTTTTTATCTTTTTTATTTAGCGGGTTATGAGTCTCATACCTTATCCGTTACGACACTTATAATTATCGATGGACACAGTTCTTATTGTCCATAAATGATATACTTAACGCAATTATGTTGGGTTAACTTCTCTCCCGTGTTTATTTTATTATTCCAATCCGTTTTTTATTAATTTGAGTTTTATAAAATAATATGTTTTACATATTTAATAATAAATGTCAGATAAATGTTAAATAAATGTTTTTTAATCATTTTTTAAATAAATAAATAACAAAAAACAAACATTTAATAAACGTCAAACAAACGTTTAAAAAAGTGTTTCTTCGAAACATTATTTCAAACGAAACTTAATGTAAAACGAACATTTAATAAACGTTAAATAAACGTTAAAAAAATCTTATTTTAAAAACAAATAAAACATAAAATTTATTACGAAAATAAACATTTAAAAAATATTTAATAAACATTAAATAAATGTTATCCTGAAAACGAATCGTGAAATGTAAAATTAATGAAAAATAAACGTTTAAAAAACGTTTAAAAAACATTTCTTCTCCAATATATATATATATAATCCAACATGAAATAAATGTTTAGAACATGTTTCTTCAAGCCATTATCTTAAATAAACAATTGATATAACAAACACATTTAATAAACATTTTAAAAATTTTCTTCAAAATACTGTTTTAAATGAGTAATTAATGTAAAATGAACATTTAATTAACGTTAAATAAACGTTTAAAAAATGTTATTTCCAAACATTATTTTAAACAAAAAATTAGCGTAAAATTTACATTTAATAAATGTTAAATAAACGTTTAAAAAATATTTCTTCCAAACATCATTTCAAATGAATAATTAATGTAAAGTAAACGTTTAATTAACGTTAAATAAATATTTAAAAAATGTTTTTTTCATTGTTATTTGAAGTAAAAAATTAATGTAAAACAAACATTTCATAAAAGTTAAATAAACGTTTAAAAAATGTTTTTTGGACAGTTATTTCAAACAAAAAATTAATGTTAGACAAACATTTAATAAATATTGTATTAAATAAATATTTAATAAATATTAAATAAACGTTTAAAAAATATTTCTTTCAAACATAATTTTAAATGAATAATTGAAGTAAAATGAATGTTTAATTAATGTTAAATAAACATTTAAAAAATGTTTTTTTCATTGTTATTTGAAATAAAAATTAATGTAAAACAAACATTGTACAAAATGTTCTCAGAGGGCCGAGAAGATGTGAACGACGAAGAGCGTGCCGGACGCCCGAGCACGTCAACACAGACGAAAACATTGATGAAGTGAAGAAAATAGTATTGGCCAATCGTCGAATCACCGTTAGAGAGGTTGCTAAGGACCTAAACATATCGATTGGCTCGTGCCATTCGATTTTTACCAATGATTTGGGCATGAGACGGGTCGCCGCGAAATTCGTACCAAAATTGCTCAATTTCGACCAAAAACAGCATCGCATTAACATTGCTAAGGAGCTGTTGGACTCTGTCCGCGACGACCCAAATTTGCTCCAGAGGGTCATAACTGGTGACGAATCATGGGTTTATGGTTATGACGTGGAAACCAAAGCTCAATCATCCCAATGGAAGCTGCCGCACGAGCCATAAAGCCATAAAGACGGCATCGAAGGAGGAGCTGAACAAGATCACAAAAAATAATTTTTTGAAGTGCTTCGAGGATTGGAAAAAACGTTGACACAAGTGTATAATATCTTATGGGGATTACTTTGAAGGGGACAAAATAGATATTCATGAATAAATAAATAATTTGTGAAAAACACAAAATTCGCGATACTTTTTGAACAGACCTCGTATATATATATATATATATACTCTTATATACCCTTTATTTTCTCGTTATTGTTTTTTAAATTAAGAGTCCTTCGTTCTTATAATAACTTATTTAAATGTAGATGTTTTATAGAATTTCGATGATTAATAGACGTATTGTATGGATCAACTGTAGACATGGTATGCAGGGTCTACAATATTTAAAATTGATTAAAATTGATTATATTATAACAACATAAATATAGTAGAGAGCACCTAGGATTTGTCAAAGTTAGTTGTTTCGAATAATATAATATATTCTTAGTTTATGAATTCAATTTTATCTCAAATGTGACTATGCACCGAAACGTTCGGACAATTAAACACAATCAATCTGAGATGTTAATAATCGCGAGCCAAAATATTTGAACATTCGCGAGTATATATAATTCCCCCCCTATTTCAAATAAGAAACTTTTATTACGAAAAATATTATTTTAACCAGAATTTGAACCTGGGACCTCTTAACTTTCCAAGGCGAGTGTCTTAGCCAGCTCAACCACTGAGGCTTCGGAGATATTCTTTGCAATAACTGTATGAAAGAACGCGTAATCAGATGGCGTTATTAAGAAATAAAATCCGATCGAGTTAATGTAATAACATAAATATAGTACAAAGCGCCTAAGATCGGTCAAAGTTAGATGTTTCGAATAATATATATTCTTAGTTCATGAATTAAATTTTATCTTAAATGTGACTGCGCCGAAACGTTCGGACAAATGACCATATTATTGAATTAATTTCTACTTATTTAAAATATAAGATTTAAAAATAAATATACAAAACTCTTAACATTGTCAAGAATAAAATCAAATAGGGCTATTGAGAGTTATAATACGATAAATGGTGCGTAAAATCTTTATATCTATAAAGGAATATAAAGTCACTGAGAGCCAAAAGTTGTACGTATGTAGTGTTGTGCCGCTAATTTACGGCACGATTCGGATCCACAAAGGATTTCGGGAGATAAGATCAAACAGCCCTTATATTTTTGTTTAATAAAAATATATCTATTTAGTTTTTACACATATCACTAGTGGTTTTTCATTACAATTCCATTTAGCACTATTCACGTCGTGGTAGATACTGTTACAATTTCGTTTAGATGACGGGCAAAGTAACGCAACAAGTTTTTTTCAATTTTCTGACCGATGACCGCATTCGCGATTGCGCTTGATTTTCGCGCTAGCTTTGGCCCTTCCGCGTTGTCAGCATTCCGCTTATCGGACGAAAACAGCTTCCGCGCAACTTCTGAGTCCGCATTTCTTAAGTTTACAATTTATATTTGCTCAGGGTCTTCTTTTATATTAATTATTTAAAAGTATCTTTAAATATATTTAACAAATCAGTTTTGGCAATCATTGATTTAATCGTTTATATTTCTGACACGTTCGTGGCGCAATTGTCATTTGTGCAATTAGCACTCGTGACAGTAGTCAACAATAATGTATATGTCAATCACGAATTACAAACGTTTCAACTATAGGATCAGATCATCTTCAGTGTAATAATTATTCATCGAAATCAAAATTGAAACGTTGTAACACAGTAAGGTAAATGCTGTCAATAAATCATTGCTAGGCTGTTGTCCAAAATTAAGAACTTCGTTATCGTTTATTGTTCTTAACTGGATATTCAAACACGAATTCAGTCATTTAACTAAAATCGAGTTAATGTATGAAATTTATGAATTTTTAATCGTAGTTAAAGTATTAAAATTGATTATATCAACTGGATAAAACTTACATTATACTCAGAATAACGATGATCCGTTATAACGCGATGTAATTATAACAAAGTCTTGAGAGCGTGTAAGAGGACGTTTCACATACGCAGTGTTTATAAGTATGAAAATTAAACGGAATAAATATCAACGCAATTTCGACGATACAAATTTATAACTGATAAAACAAATGAATACAACATAAGATCGATTTTACAAATTCATAATTTATAAAATAAGAATATATCCATTTTCTCTCAATTAAATCATTATATAGCTATTGATCATTTATTAAGTATGTTTAATAGTTACCATCCCCAATTAAATTTTACTATGGAGAGATGCGGCAATATCTTGAATTTTTTAGATATATGTAATCTTAATAAAGAAAACCGATTATTTGATATACGATTGTGTGGGCTTGGTGCACGACACGCAATAATTTTGTGTAAGTGCAGCACTAGCTGAAGGTTCAGGATCGTGGGTGAACGCCAGAATAAAAGGAAAACGCGCAATACATTTAATGATTTCGTTGAAGAGCCGTGCACTTAAACCAGATTGCCGAGAGCGAGGCACGCGTGATGGCGAAGGTATCGTAGCACGTGAGAGACTGAGACTCCCGGAAATCTTCCCAGACTTCTCCCGGATCTTGAACAACTGCGCCGCAGTTGGCTTTGATTGGTAACTAATTCCGGGAGAAATCTGCGAAGTTTGATACAACGGAGTGCGGTGCGATCGCGTACTTAGGTGGCGCGACGATGTCCGTTTTGGCTACAAGCCGATTCTTGGACAGAATCGCGCAACATACCGCCCGCCTTGCGGTATCGGTACCGCAACTCACTTAATTCTAATACATTGTCGTTCAACTTACATCCTAAGCTTAAATCTAAAACCGCAGGGAGGTGCTACGGATCGCCTTCGATATTGATAGGCAACATTGCTAGTTTAGAGATTGGCCGAGTGTATTCAGATGTGACAGTTCGTATTTTCACGACGCGGATTAGGCCGTCATGGCCCGGATAACATTCGATGACGCGTGCTAGCTCCCATTTCGCCGGAGGTAGATTATCGTTCCGCAACAGTACAATTTGACCGACACTGAGTGGCTTCGCCGGATTACACCATTTCGAACGGTGCTGGCACGACGTCACATAGTCACGTGCCCAACACTTCCAAAAGTGATCCAACAATTGTCGATAAAGCCTCCAACGCGCGGAGCGACAGAGCGTAAAATCCGCTGTCAATGGAGCAGGGATTGACACCAAAGGGCCGCCGACAAGGAAATGCGCCGGTGTCAGGACCTCGAGACTCTCAATGTCCTCATGTAAGGGAGCGAGTGGGCGTGAATTCATACACGCCTCAACGCGGCATACGAGCGTAGCAAGTTCTTCGAAGGTTGGAGTGTGAGGTTCAAGGACGCGCTTCAGGTGTCGTTTCATGGATCGCACCCCGGCCTCCCACAGCCCACCGAAATGAGGCGCGGCAGGCGGAATGAAATTCCACTCCACTTTATCCTGAAGCAGGCGGGCCCGCAGAGTCTCGGATCCGATGGCAGCCTGAAATGCTGCACGCAGTTCCTTGTTTGCACCCTGGAAATTGGTACCGCGATCGCTGTGTACGACGCTCGGCAGTCCGCGACGCGACGTAAAACGCTGAAATGCCGCAAGAAAGGCATCGGCGGAGTAGTCGCTAACTACCTCTAAATGGACAGCGCGTGAAGCCATGCACACAAAAAGTGCTATATACGCGAGATGCGACTTTGATCCTCGACCCCCGGCGAATCTCGTTCGAACAGGTCCAGCATAGTCGACGCCACATTCTACAAAAGCGCGGAGCGGACGATTGATGCGAGCCGACGGCAGTGAACCCATCATCTGAGCGGGAACCTTCGCGAGTTGTCGAGCGCATGGTACGCAGTGGGCGACCACCGATTTCACCAATTTGCGACCTTGTAAGACCCAAACGTGCGTACGCAACGTGCTTAAAGTCAAAGTGATGCCACCGTGAAGGCATCTTTCATGAGCATGCCGCGCGAGAAGGACGGCAACATGTCCGCGAAGCAAAATTATAGGAAATTTCGCAGCATATGCCATATGAGACAATGATAAGCGTCCACCTACCCTTAGTAACCCGTCAGCGTCCAAGAACGGGTTGAGCCGACGCAATGGACTACTCTTAGGCAGAGCTTGGTCGCGTTGCAGGAAGCGTGACCCATCGTCGGTTTTCGGGTTTTTCTTTAGCAACGCCACTTCTCGGCAAAACGGGGTAGCCTGGCAAAGGCAAAAAATACGATTGGCAACGCAAGTAAGCTCTTGGATGCGCGATTGGCCCCTGACTGTGGACCTCCAGTGTGCGGAAAACCGCAGGCAGATGGCAAGAACCCGACACATGCGTGGCCAGCTTGAAAAGCATTGAAAAGGTTGATGGTCGCCGTTTAGTTGAACGTTCGCGTGATGGACGTTTGACTTTCGCTCTAAGGGCGCACCATCGTCCAGGGTTGGATCAACGGAGGGCCAACTTGATGGGCCGAAGGATAACCAGGATGGACCATGCCACCATGTATGGGACGATGCGAGTTCAGAAGCAGACACACCCCGGGACGCTAAATCAGCAGGATTGTCCGCTCCGGGTACATGACGCCACGAAACCTTGGGAAGCGAGGTTTGTACCTCGGCGACGCGATTGGCGACGAACGTCTTCCAGTTGTTGGGTTGCTCTAAGCCAGGCGAGCACGATAGTCGCGTCGGTCCAACATTGGAGTGGACAATCTGTGAAGATGGGTATGGACCGAACCTGAGTGGCTAATCGGGCTAAAATTACAGCTCCACATAACTCAAGGCGGGGAATCGTGAGCTGCTTCACGGGAGCAATTCGTGTCTTTGCCGTCAGTAAGTGGACCGAGACCACACCCGACGGTGATTCTGTGCGGACGTACATAACCGCCGCGTACGCTTTCATGGAAGCATCTGAGAATCCGTGGAGCTCAATACGATTAGACGGCGATATGTCGAGCCAGCGCGGTATTGATATATCTGCCAGCGATGGGAGGGCGATATAAAACGCTTCCCATGCAGATTGCAGATCCGCAGGCACAGGTGCATCCCAATGCACGTTGCACGACCAAAGTAGCTGTATCAGATGTTTAGCGATGACTATGACTGGTGCAAGCCACCCGAGTGGGTCAAAGATACGAGCTATTTGGGACAACATCACTCGTTTTGTGACGAAAGAGGCGAGAGGTTCAGAGTGAAGCAGTATGAGTCGTCAGTGGGTCTCCAGGCAATACCGAGGATCTTCAAGCTGTCGTCATCCTGCAAAGCTTTGTCACACGATAAACCGTGATTGGACGGATCGATATCGGAGAGCAACGTGATCGAATTGCTGGACCATTTGCGAAGCGTGAAATGGCCTTTGTTCAGCAAAGCGGTCGTTTCAATTCTGATGGCAATTGCCTCTTCGATTGTATCCGCTCCAAACAGCACATCGTCGACAAACATATGCGACCGAACGACATCCTTCCCACGGGGGAACCCATGACCTTCATCTGTGACTAACTGCTGTAAGACGCGCAGTGCTAAAAATGGCGCACTAGCTGTACCGTACGTAACAGTCAACAGCTGATACTCGGATATGGCCGCTGAGGGGGTATGACGCCATAAAATCCGTTGTAGATCGACGTCGTGTGGACTAATCAAGATTTGCCTATACATCTTCTCGATGTCGGCAGTGTATACAAATTTATACGTGCGCCATTGGAGATGCATAAGGGATAAATCGGCCTGCAACTTGGGGCCGATGTATTGCAAATCGTTGAGTGATTTGCCGGAGGCGGAAATCGCGGACGCGTTAAAAACAATACGGGTCTTTGTAGTCGTACTCGATGTCTTCACAATCGGATGACGAGGTAAGTAAACTACAGACGCGTCATCCGGACGTGCGGTTGCAATCCGCATATGACCGAGTGATTCGTACTCACGCATGAAGTCGGTATAAGCGGTACGTTCTGAGGGCCGAGATGCGAGTCGTCGTTCAATTGACTGCAGGCACTGTAAGGCGCGTCGATAGGTGTTGCCAAGCGTTAGCGCGGGCGCGGCGCGAAGCGGCAATCGTACTACATACCGACCGTCGGCAGTGCGCGAATGTGTCTCTTTAAAATGACGCTCACATATAGCGTCGTCCTTTGAGACCATACGACTTGCAGGGATTTCCTCGGTCTCCCAAAATCGAGTAAGGGATGAGTGGAGGTCATCGTCTTGTATGTGCACGTGGTGCACTTGAACGCGAGGTTCTTCGCCCTGTCTACCCTCTGTATTGCTCATCCTAGACAGGACCCACCCGAAGATGGTGTTCAAGGCCACCGGCTCGTCTCGTCGGCCGCGAATAAGTCCATCCCGAAGCTCATACGCGTACAAATCCGCGCCGATCACCAAATGAATAGGCGTATCGTCCGTCGGGTTTCGATCCGACAGTTCGAGACCTTTGAGATGCGGCCAATGTGAAACCGGATACCGAAATCTCGGTACGTACGACGTCAGGTTGTCAAGAACTAGCGCTTCGGTTGATAGTGCGACCTCATTGCTGCCTACTGCACTAACAGAAATCGGTACTACCTGACTAACTGTCGATGGTCTGTTAAGACCTATGCCATTCATTCGCATTGACGTCGGGTACGTTTTCGTCCGTAATTCGGTCGCTGCAACTCTCGAAATGAAAGTGTGCGTTGAACCTGGGTCGAGCAACGCTCGCAACTTTACGACCCGATGCGACGCAGCGGTGACTAACACCCACGCAGTAGTCAGGATGATATGGGTTGGCACTTGAAGAGTGCTTAAATGTGATTGAATTAAATTCGCATCAACCAATGGACCACCACTGGTTGACGCACTGGTTCCTGCGTCGGTACTAGTCTTTTTACGCGGTGGTGAATGCAAAAGAGTATGATGACGCTCGTGACAATGTGAACAGGTGCGAGTGCTTGGGCACCCGTCGCTAGTATGACGAGCCGACAAGCAGTTAAAACATAACGTGTGCTCTCGAGCGACTTCCCAACGTTGAGACACCGGTTTACTAGTAAATTGCGCGCATTTGTACGTCGGATGTGTATTATTACACAACGTGCATTGTACATTACAATTATTCGACGATTTTTTTGGACTCGCGTGATGAGCCGACGCAGCAGGGCTAGGGTTAGCCGTCGCTTTCGTTCGAGGTTGTGATGCTGAGGATCGAGTGATTTTGTTTCCCGCTGTTGCGGCTTCGAGAGATCTGATTTTTAATTTCAAAAACCGTTCCAACTCATCAAAGGTCGCGAAACCATCACCCTCAAGCGAAAATTCCCAGGCTTCTCGAGTGTCGCGATCAAGACGCTGAGTGACGATATGCACGCTTATATCATCACTGATAGGACGGCCAAGTTTCGCGAGCGCGTCGAGACATTCCTGGGCCGAATCTAATAATTTCCGCAATTCTCCTGGAGACCCTTCGCGAGAAACGGGTTTGAGACCAAAGAGCTCATTTAAAAGAATCGACAATAAACGGCGTTTATTTTCATAGCGTTCCGTGAGCATCTTCCAGGCGACTTCAAAATTATCCGCGGTAATCGACAAGTTTTTTAACAAAGCCGCGGCTTCTCCTTCAAGGCATGATTTCAGATAATAAAGACGATGAAATGAGTCAAAAGAAGCGTCATTAAGAATGAGTGCCTGGAAATGATCACGGAATTCTATCCAACCTATGAAATTGCCGGAAAAGTGCGGTAGCTTAATCTTCGGTACTTGCGTACGACGTTGATGAGCTTCGGAGATGGCAGCATCTGGTTCCGTGTTCGACGATGCCGGTGACATCCGTGGCATAGCAGCGTGTATGTATGCGGACAGGCCTGCGTACGTTGTGAGGTAGAGTTCCTCACACGTGCCAAGGAAGTCCTCAGTGAAGTAAGCTTCGGTTGCGCAAGCCGGCAATGCTTCATACATGGTCAGCTGTTCATCGCGAGCTGACAGGTCCTTCCACCGTCCGTCAATAAAGTCCCGTCGAGCCTGTGCTTGCTCGAGGGTCACGTCGGGCGAATCGAGCAAGGCAGCTGCTCTTTTTAGGGATTGCAGCACCTTATTCTGCTGAGCCACAAGCTGTATGAACTCATGGTACTCCTCAGAAGCATCTGTATGGCTTCGGTTTTTCGGCATTTTCGCACAGCTCGGAAACAGTAGTTGCCGAAATTCTAACTGGCTCTATCAATTCAAACGCTTCGCCTGCGAGCTGTGTGAAATTCAGTGCAGGCTTCGCCTTTGGAGCGTCGAGCCTGAAAGCTTGGCGATGCGAGAGCGGGGCGCCCGGTGAGGGGCACGTATTCCACGGCCACTAACACGGTGTTGAGGCGTGTCGGAGCCAGCCAACAGCTCGAGCGGGAGCGGCGGTTGCTACGGGTAACGAAGCACGGACGAAGAGAGTCCCACGGTAACGTCACGTGCGCGGCACGTATTTCACGGCCACTAACACGGTGTTGATGCGTGTCGGAGCTCGCACAAATGGAGATTGTGTGCGGCTCTCGGAGCGCGGAACTCGTGACGTCACGCGAGCTGTGTACACGAATTAGCTATTATATACCGCCGGCGATTCACGAAATCGACCGAAACGCTTACGGGCGTAAATCTTATGCGGAGGCGCGCACTGCTTTTTATGCGCGCGAGCGATTTTTCAAGGTTTGAATCGCACTTATTCCGGCACTCCCGGTCACTTCCGTCCAGAAATGTTCAACTTAACAGTTTGTCCTTTTAATCAGTCTGTATAGATGTTTTGCAAAATTCTGGTCCACTTTTATCTCACCTGGATCCTGGCAGGATCGCCAATGTGGGCTTGGTGCACGACACGCAATAATTTTGTGTAAGTGCAGCACTAGCTGAAGGTTCAGGATCGTGGGTGAACGCCAGAATAAAAGGAAAACGCGCAATACATTTAATGATTTCGTTGAAGAGCCGTGCACGTGTACTTAAACCAGATTGCCGAGAGCGAGGCACGCGTGATGGCGAAGGTATCGTAGCACGTGAGAGACTGAGACTCCCGGAAATCTTCCCAGACTTCTCCCGGATCTTGAACAACTGCGCCGCAGTTGGCTTTGATTGGTAACTAATTCCGGGAGAAATCTGCGAAGTTTGATACAACGGAGTGCGGTGCGATCGCGTACTTAGGTGGCGCGACGATGTCCGTTTTGGCTACAAGCCGATTCTTGGACAGAATCGCGCAACATACTGGTATCACAAACCCTCGTTCTCGGTACGGTATCTAAACTATTTTTCGTGTCACCCGAGATGCATAAAATAGGGACAATTATGGGTTTGATGGGGTATTATTATTACCCTATATGAATATATATTAGGGTATATCCAACTTTTCATGAGAAAAATTTTAAGTTTATTATTATTAACACACCTTACTTACAGTTATCTTTTAAAACTGATTTTTGAAAGCATTAGAAAAAGGCTATACACCAAATTCGAACAACTTAACAAGAACATACAACGAAAGAAAATTGACAATTTAATTACATACTTTACTGTACCCTACATGCCTTCAATAACAGAGAAATTCAAGAGATTTTTATAAAATAACAGGGTGGTTCGTTTGGCTTACGTAGGAATTAATAAACTTAAACATTTATATAAGAGCACAAATTACCGTCATTATTACATTCTAATGTGATATACAAAATTAATTATCAAAATTGTGATGCTTCCTATGTGCTTCCAAACGAAACGGTTATTGAAGAACATCGGAATCACATAAATAAGAACACCACACAACATTCTGTAATAACAGAACATAAAATTGATCCAATCATGATTTTAATTGGAATGATATCAAAATTTTAAACAAAGAACAAGGATTAAATAAAAGATTAATTTTGGAAGCGATTCATAAAAAAACCAAAAAATGGATTTAATATGCAAAATACGGATACAGAATTGTTAGATTCGCTATATAATAATTTAATTTAGAGAAAATAAATATGTTCTTGTTTTATAAATTATAAATTTGCAAAGTCGATTTTATTGGTTGGTATTTATTTGCTTCCATGTTTTATAAGTTATAAATTTGTATCGTCGACATTGCGTTGGTATTTATTCCGTTTAACTTTCATACTTATAAACACTGCGTATGTAAAACGTCCTTTCACACGCTTTCAAGACTTTATAACTACAAGACTTATAATTACATCGCGTTATAACGGATCGTTATGCTGAGTGCAATGTAAGTTCTATCCATTGGATACAATTTTAATACTTTGACTATGATTAAAAGTTCATAAATTTCATACATTCACTCGGTTTTAGTTAAATGACTGAATTCGTGTTTGGGTATCCAGCTAAGTACAACAGCCTAGCGATGATTCATTGACAACATTTATCTTATTACGTCCAAGCTCAGGAAAATGGATTTAAAGAGAGAAGGGAGTAGAAAGGATGGAGTGTGGAAGGACGGTCAGACTCTTGTCTTGCAGGTATCCGCACAGAAGCAAATACTGCGAGTCGAATGCACCCTTTTTATTGCTCGCTTCGGAATATGGGTCAACATCTCGTAAAGACGCTATGACACCTGTTTCCTACGAGCGGTGCGATCGTCGGTCCGAATTTCGAGTCAGAGAAATCCCTTTAACTCGGGAATGGACCACGTGTGAGCTCTGAAAGGGCAAGGTTTAATGATTACGAGGTTTTATTAGGGGATTTCAAAAGTGAATGACGAGAGCGAGAAAAATAATTACTAACATTATTTATTGTTGCTAATCAAAAGATAAGAATAACAGACGGTTATATAACAATAGGCGTATTTATTATAACTAATCTATACATTTTAATCTATTACATAAATACCACAACAGTCTATTCAGTAACGGGCATACGCTTTATGTACATCGAGTAGTCGGAAGACTCGGATGGGATTTGATTAATCTATTTCGTGGATGGAAACGGAAGAAGGAGGGAAAAGATTGTAAAAGAATTCTACTGGAACTAGGAATGCATTGGCGGAATTCGGGAGGAATACTGGAATACTGGATGTTGAAGGTTGATCGGTGATGGCAGTTCGGATTTCTGCAGGATCAAAATAATGAGGGCCGATTGTATAAGCCCCCCGAGGGATGGATGCAGTAGTAGAACGCGGGAATTGGGTGATAAGTGACTCGAAAGTGTCACTCTCTAGGATCCGGAAGTAGGATCTAGGTGGGGGTGGAGGAATTTCCTTTAAGAACTCCACGCTGTCTGTGGAGTTCGTCGGGGACGGAATTCCTCTTGGGGAAATTGGGATAGAATCGACCGACGAATCGGATGATAGTGGGGGAGTATCTGGAAAGATTCTCTCCGCTAATGAGTCCGAAAACGCGGGTGACGGAGATCGAGGGGGAGGTGAAGGAGTTTGCGGGGAAGGTGAAGGTGATTGAAGGGAAAGTATACCTCTAACTGATTAGGAATAGCCGGCGGAGCCGGTGGTGACGAGGGTGGTGATGGTAGTCGCAAATGGTCCTCGGCCGGGCGACTCTGTTCTCGTGTACCCCCGAGGTATCTCCGGAACTCCTCGTCCAAGAGTCTCCGCGCTTCTCAGTAGGTCCGGCTTCTAAGCCACCCCTTGTAGGGACGGTTTAGACGCGGCACTATAATTTAGTGTAAATTACAGCGGATGGTTCTTATTTACACATATACATATATATATATATTTGCGCGTGCGCGTGCGCGTGCGCGTGTGCGTGTGTGTGTGTGTGTGTGTGTGTGTGTATGTGTGGGTAAGAATGGGACTTAGTGTTATTCTGCGGATGTGAGTGGAGTCTATGGTTGAATTTCTTTGGTCCCAGCACTCCACGGAGAGTTCCCACTCGGAGGCTCCGACCAAGTCACTCTTATTCAAAGTTCAAAGGAGATGGAGTTCGACTGAGAACTGCGTATAGTCGCGAACCGGCAAAGTAACGGTTGGAAAAATGACTGACGACTGCGCGTTACTTGTGGAGGGTCTCTTTTTATATTGGCGAGTTAGTGGTGCCGAGTGCAGAGCTCACGTGTGCTGTTGGCCTAATCTAGGATTAGGATTAAAGATATCGGAAATGGGATTAAGGGATATGTGTCTAAGACAACTTTCGTCATCGACCATTTGTCGGATATCCAATAGTTTAGAGCCACATGTGTCATTTACAGATAACTGCTGTTTTATAATTCTAATCTATTTATTCTTCCTGTTCCTCGGGATAAGGTTCGCCTATTTGGCACTTGGTTCAAATATCTAATCTAACAACTCTGTCCCGAGTGGATTATTAGTTCAAAAAGATAAATGTTATTCGGCTCGTCGCTATTGTAACCTCTTATGGTAGAAATAAATGGTCTATTATTACTTGTTAATAATTTTTATGGTGATGACGAAAGTTTTTAGTCGAAGAAAAGAACTGTGGAGCCCGAACGTAACAATCTTATTGTGTTACAACGCATCAATTTTTATTCCGATGAATAAATTACACTGAAGGTGATCTAATCCTATAGTTGAAACGTTTATAATTAGTAATTATAATTGACATATACATTATTTTTTACTACGTACAACTGTGTCGACTCTCAGTAGCTTTATATTCCTTTATAGATTTAATCTTTGGAGCGTTGTTTAATTTTAATTTTAATTGTAAAATCTTTATCTAAAACCAAATATTACATAGCTTACTATATCGCGTTGTAACTCTCGTTAGTTATTTGGTTTCATTCTTGTTTAGAATTTATATATTGTAGCATTTTCAAAAAATTGTTCAACCTAATATAATAATAATAAAATGGGCTGTAAGCAAACGCTAGTCATTCAGTATTAATATTATACTTCATTAAACGAATATATCAATATAGATTGTTATCTTTAAGATTTCCATTATTAGTCTTATTGACCGTTTTATAGCAATGGTACTTTAGCCTTGTGTGAATTGAAGACAAAGTAAAAGAAGGCGAATAACCATTTTTAAGCAGTATCTCAATTTCTATCATATCTTTTTGATGGAATTTGTGACATGATAAATACAATGTTCTATCAACCTACAGACGTCACCTTTTGTGTGATCTGTTGGAGGCATATAATCGTTTTCAACTCTCACAAAAAATCAACCTTTTTTTGGAAGAGATTTAAATTTCCGTTCATACATACGCGCACACACACACACACACGCGCG